AAAAAAAAAAAAAAAAAAAACCTAAAGACATTTATTTTTTGAAGTTGTAGTAAGCCATCCCCACACTGGCTCCGTCCTTGATTTCAATCATACCAAATAGACAGTTGGCATCTGAATTTTAAGACCAACCCTTCAAATGCCAGCCGTTGCCACTCAGTGATGGCAGGAAAACTAATTAGGTTCACACAGATGCACCATGCTTTGCAATTGTGGCTGGCTGTTACATTATAGGTATTTGAGCATACCACGACCCTCAACACTAAGTTTTGTAGCTTGCAACTGCCGCTTTTTTGGTGCTTTCAACTGCTGCAACTTCTTAGCCATCTGCCATTAATAAATAAGGATTGGCTTCAGAAAACAGAGATACAAAAATTCAGAATATTAAATTAGATTGAGAGAGTACATTAAAAAGCAGCTTGTTGATTCAGAAAAAGCATATCAATTAGAAGTTAATGATAGGTATGCACAAAGACATGCATTTTAATCCTCAAGTGATTTATCTCCAATAAAAAGTATGAAAAAAAGCAACAACTGAATTCATGAAAAAGCAAAATAATCATATCACTAAATCCACCAGATAGTCAAACAGTTAACGAGGAATGTTCTAAACAAATGATAAATCAAAATAGCAACAAGAACAAGGGATCTTAATGCTAGTTTAGTTATTGCAAAGCAAACCTTTAGACGGCGCTGATCTTGAACAACTTGTCGAGCACGAGCTCTAACTTCTTCAGGATCAATCTTAGACTGGGGACGCACAACAAAATCCATTGGCGTTGCTTCTGGCCTTGAAGCATGCAACCTAGAAGAAGATTCTGACCTTGAAGCATGTAAACCAGAGGATTTACGCTCTCTGCAATTTCATAACCAACTATTAAGAGTAATATTCAAAGTATGTGGGGTCACAAAACAATTTGAATCAAGTGAAGAACTGAAAACTAGGACAAACAAATAAAATCTGTTCCCACATCTTACCCAGAAATATCCAAATCAAAATCACCATGTCTAGAATCCATTGCAGCAGCTCTATTTGCAGGCCTATAAGAATAAAAAAATAATGATACTAAGGAGAATCCAAGCATGAATAACGACATCCATAAGTTCATGAGAGTGAAATTTTGTAACATGTTCTGCATAAGAACTGATAAAAAAAACATACTTTTTCACAGTCGGCCTTCGGAAGGGAACCCTATCATCATCAATGTTTCTCATATCCTCAAACCTTGTACTCTTATTAAATATTGGCCGACTCTACACAATGTTCAAAATTATAATAACCAGTCAATTTCATATTCATAGGATATTAAAGAACTCCAAAAAGAGAGGCCAAAGGTTGAAATCCAATCCCCATTGCCTCCAAAATGTACATTAAAAAAAGGACCAGAACTTCACATGCAAGAGCCTGAAAGATTTATATCCAGATCAAGCAAACAAATGTTTGAGAGAAATTTGAGCAAAACCTTGTTTTTCTTTAAAAATAATGATAATAATTTGAAGTTCAGACCAAGGCATTTATCATTGCAGTATTGCAAAGGAAATAAAATTCCACAGGGCAGATAAAAAAGGAGTGACCAAAGTTCAATGACAAATTTTCATCAATGAATACCCCCAGGTATGATTACTGAAATATACCTCAAAGAAATAAGAAGGCAATACACAGAATATTTAACAAATCAATAACGGGTAAAATATATTACCCATTTGTCAACCAAATCCTTCGCAAGTTTTCTGTTTGAAGTTGTTTCCTCATCAGATTTTGATAAAAACATTATGACCTGCCCATTATAAAAAAAGTAGAGTTAAAATTGCTCCATGGTCCATAATGCTTCCAAAGAAGGATGAGCATGATTGCTTCTACAAGATGATCCTCACCTTTCCAAGACCACTTCTTTTCAGTTGTTCTCTCCTATCATGCTGATCTAGATCAATGGGAAACTGGATGACAGAAGCAACATTTAAGTCCTATATAAAGCCGGCTTTAAGGCAAATCATAATTGCTTCACAGATTAAAATAGGGGCAAGAAAGTTTATACATCACTCAAGATCTTCAAAATAGCAGCTCGGATATTGATGTTCGGCAAGCTTCCATCAGGAAGAGGCTCAAGCCAATTCTTCAGCAGGGTTAAAACTCCATGATCTAGGAATTCCGATTGAAGCTGCTTCCTGCATTAAATTCAAGTAAGAAGAATGATAATTACATTGGAAAGACAGGTATATTTTATAAACACATAGGTAGAAGCAACTTACTTTGAGAGTACCTCTGTGAGAAGAGGCAACTTCTTGAGTTTGTTAATTGCAGGTTTACCCTGTCTATTAAGTTCTGCATCTTCTTCAGCTGTGACCTCAAGCTCAGCCATGACATTCTCAACAAGCAATGCAATTTCTGCAGGACTTTTCTCATTCTTCTTCCTTTTCTTACCCATCTTGAACAACTCCTTAATTTCAGGATCCTCATCATCCTCCACGGCCTAATAATGATTTTCAAAAGAAAGGAACAAAAGGGTACCAAAAGAATAAAAAAAACCACTTATCAACCAAAAGAATAAAACATGACCTTCTACCTTGCTATTGCTGCATGCCATTAACGTCACTTAAACGAATAGAACATAAGGTGCCAACCTGTGGGGCATCACCAGGAGAGCGCGCCTCGTTATCACTGCCATACCTGTCAGCAGGGTCCACGCCACTATCATCAATGAAGTCATCATCATCCACAGTTCTAACACCTTCTTGGTCATTCTATTCAAATAAAGTATGATGTTAGATTGATTCAAGTAAATAATTTACTGAGACTAGCAAGCCAATTTCATCAATTTCAAGTAATTGAAGCAACTTTCATTTAACAAACTAAATAACCAAATAAGTAACTTTTATCTCCACTAACTAAATAAGCGAACTTACTAATTCCTGAGAAGAAAAGCAGGCAGCCAGGTTTAATGTGAATAAAGATACAGAGAGCACCAAAACATCAGTAAAATACCTCAGGATTGACCCACTGCCACATCTCATTCATCTCCTCGGACTTCCCTGATTTTGAAAGCCTCCCCTTCTCACCAATGTGGGCATACTTCTTCTCCCCCTTATGCCTCTTCTCTTTATTCCCTTCCTTCCACTTCTTTCTTTTCTTCCCCTCAGATTCCGACTCCTCCCTCACAAAGTCCCCAACAAAATTTTCCTCCTCCTCATCCACTAGGTCAGAAACCCCCACACTCTCGTTTCCCATGTAGCCTTTCTTCACCAACCTTTTCCTCGGCTTCCCAACCTTATCCGTGTCATATACCGGCGTCTGGGACCGCTCCCGCCGACCCCAGTCCCCAACCTCGTCTTCCACATCGTCAAGCAGCTCTTGCTGCGGCTCCGGCGAACCATGATCTGACCGAATGTCGTCGTAGTCCATTAACGGCTCTCCATCCTCGTCGCGATACCTGGCATAAGAGAATATCACTGTAATTACATTCAAGCACCAAAAAAACCCCAACTTTCTGAGAGTGATACACGAAACTTCTAAAGAAAACAAAAGAGGTTTGCAAACTGTGATGACGCGAAAAAGGGACAATATCACGAAAACCCTAATTTCGTCAGAAGCAGAATCGTACGGATCGTCTTCGTAACCCATCGGTGACAACACCAAAACTGTTTCCTGCTTCGAGAGAGGTATCTGTTCCGTTCTGCTCTCCCGATCAATCTCAGCTTCCTGGCTCTTTTCCGATGAATGGCAATGAGCAGTTCGGCGTTGATGGGGTTCACCGCGCCGCGGCAAAACTGCTATTTAATCTTGTATTTAACTTTCTTCATTAAAAAAAAAAATCTTGTATTTAATTTTAGGTTAAATTTTAAAGGAAAAATCCGTTTACTTTTCCACTGTTGAGCTTTCTACATTTTACCCATAGGCCACAGCAATGTTGTTAGTACAATAATAATGATATAGTTAGAACTTAGAATGTTTTATATATAATTATGAAATAATATTATGGATAAAATAATATGGTTATGAGTTAATTTTTAAATTAAAAAATTAATTATATCATAACACAACTTATTATAAATTTATAATATCACATATTATTATAATTACATTATTTTCATTATCGCACATGATCATATTAATGTCCCACTAATATTATATTTAGATTGAAAGAAATGTTTCCTTCCATTATCCTCTCCTCATTAATTTGAATAACTAAATGATTTTATACAAAATAAAGGACTTCCCAACTTAAACATACTTTCAATGTTTTTTTTTTTTTTTTAAACATGATTATAAGGGTTGAATTCGAATCGTAATATTGGATGGGAGAATGTATTTCAATGTGACTTTGTTATCACTGGACTCGATAGCCCAAGTGCTACTTTCAATGTATTTTAATAATAAAAACTAATATAATTATTATAATGTTGGTGACATTATTTATAGCTCGTTATTAGGTGAGAATGAGATTTTTAAAAACTCATTAATTATGAAATGTAAAAGTAAAAATATAAAATTTTAATGTGAAATTAACACTTTTAAATTTGTAATTCCTTTAACCATAAAAAATAATTTAGTTTTCAACCTTAAACTACCCAAGTTAGTAATTAAGAACGGTTAGTATTAAAGGAAATATAGTAACATGTGCCATTACTCCAATGGGTTATTAGCATGAGAACAAAATGATGTTACACATAAGGTAGTTGTCTAGGTGCTCTTAAGATATTCTTAATATGAGTGTTATATTAAGCATTCTCCTGTTGGATTTTCAAGTTGATGAGACATTGACATTAAGGTATCAAGTAATATATTAGCCAGGCACGAATCATATACCCTCAAACATTAGGTGTTAATGTTCAACTTGTGTAGTTAAGAAGCTTCAATTATAAAAAATAAGTTTAGGGAAAAACATGAAAAATAAATAAATCTAAGATTATGGATGATTTACAAAATTATTTTTTAATATATATATTTTTTATCTTAATTACACAATGAAAGACAATCATCTTTCATCGTTATCTCAACTTATTTATATATAATACAACTCAAACTCAATATTTCTTATTTCTAACAAAAAAAGATAACTATTAAATTATGTAGGTCATTGACTATTCTTTAATATTAAGAAATCTGTACTTGTTTCTTTTCTTCTTCTTTTTTTTTTTAAAAGGCAATGGTAAGTCTGTAGTTGTTTAGCACTATTACTTTATGCCCTCCTAATCTCAAACCAAAATTTTATAGTTATTTAGTGGTCTTAACTAATTAGGTGGCTTAATTATACAGAAATTATCAGTTCAAGGACTTAACTCAAGATTAAAGTTTAAAAATGAGGTTTTGCTTTCGAAAATAATATAGTTATCCCAAATTTGTAGGTTCAATTGTAATAATGTTTTATGATTATAAATTTAAAATCTCACTTAATATTATAATTATAGCATTATATATATGCTTTATAATTAATTGGAAAACTGTAAAAAAAATTTCTGAAAAATTAAAATGAAATTTTAAGAGTATTAATAGAGAGAATGAAAATTTGTAATAAAAATTTAAGACTAATAATGTTGTTTATGTTACATTATTAAATTAATTATACATTTAAGAGTATTGATAAGAGAATGAAAATTTGTAATAAAAATTTAAGACTAATAATGTTGTTTATGTTACATTATTAAATTAATTAATACAAATAATATTATATATTAAAAAATAAAAT